GAAAGCAGGACTGTGGGGTCCTTGAGTTGGGTGGTTTCCTTGCAGACATCTCATGACCCAACTAAGGAACAGCATCAGGGGAGGAAGGGAGGAAAGAAAAAGGAGGAAGAGAGGAAGGAAGAAAGGAAGGAGAAGGAAAGGAGAGGGAGGGAGGGAAGGAAGGAAGAAGGGGGAGAACTGTGGGGTCCTTGGTGCTCCCTAAACTTGGTTTCTTTGCAAACATCTCATAACCCAACAAGCGAACATCATCAGGGAAGGAAGCGAGAGAGGGAGGAGAACTGTGGGGTCCTTGGTGCTCTCCCAGCTTGGGGGTTTTGTTATAGACATCTCATGACCCAACTAGGCAACGTCCTCCGTGGCAGAGAGGACTGTGCATAAGCAGAGAGCCAATTCCCCCTTCCCATCTGGCAACGAGGGTGGCTTTCTTTTATGCCCAAATCGATCGTAAGCCAGGAATGACCAACCAGCCATCCCGTTGTTGGATGCCGGACAGAAACTCACCTGGTTGCTAGGAACCCGGTAAGGCGGGTTTCTCTCCACCAGGGAGGTGAAGGTCTCCAGGAAGAGGTCACTCAGGCTCTGCTGGATGACCACATTGGCCCCGTTCTGGATGGGGGCGCAGAGCTTGTCCTGCATTTCCTCATATTCCGACGAGTTGAGCCTGTTGGGAAAACAAAGGTCAGGTGCAGATTTTGGGAACGAACAACGTTGGATTCCAAAACAGACGATAAACCAGCCTATTTCTTTAGAACCCAAACAGTTCTCAACTTATGACGGTTGATTTACTGACTGTGCCAAGTTACAACAGCCCTGGGAGGAAAAAAAGAGCCTTTTTCCACCCAGTTACGGGATTTACATTTGACGGTTGGAACGTCCTGGGTTTTCTATGATCCCCTTTTGCGATGAGGAAGGCCGATTCACTTAACAACCGTATGATTCATTTAAGGACATGATTCACTCAACCAAAGTGGGGAGAAATGCCACAAAATGGGACAAAAGTCACTGAACACATTTCTCACCTGGCATGACAATTGCGGTCGTACGTTGAAGACTACCGCCAAATAAAATACAGCTCATCCTCGACTTACGACCACAACAAAGCCCCCAAATTTCCATCGCTAAGCAAGACATTTGTGAAGCGAGCTCTGCCCTTCTGGAAGGCCTCTCTCGCCACAGGAGTTAAGTGAATCTCTGCAGTCAAGTCAAACGGTTGTTAAGTGAAGCTAGCTTTGACTTTGCTGGTCAGAAGGTTGCAAAAAGAGATCGCGTGACCCAAGGAGGGAGGCTGCAACCGTTGTAAATATGAAATCAGTGACCAAAGCTCTGAATTTTGATCACGTGACCGAATCTGTGATTAAAATCTGCAGGGATTCACTGAACGACCAATTCACTTTTGCGACCTTCTCGCCAAGCAAACTGGGGTGGAGGTGGGGAAGCCATATTTCCTTCGCGACCATGTGATGAAACAGCTGCCAGGATTGATTTAAAAACCGGTTCATAACTCTTAAGAACCAGTTATGAACTGGTAAGAACGGCTGGCAAACAGGACGCAACTCAACGCACCACAAAGCAGAAATTTTGAGGCCATAAAATCGGGGATTCAACAGAACCGCCTTCCAGACTGCTAAACCGCAAAGGCCCCAGGTTCAAATGCACTTCCCCGCCCCACCCGGAAACAGGATGCTGGGGACAAGCGTTACCGGATGTCAAAGTCCTTCACGCGGGGATCGGTGCTGGTCACGCGGATGGTGAGGAACTGCGACGGCATGTTGACGTCCAGCAAGAGGTCCTGCTGCCTAGAGTCTATGACGGTCAGCTGGAGGTCCCGCTGTAGCCCCACGTGGAAGGCGTAGGTGGTGACTCTGAGGATCCAGCTGTCGGTCACGACCAGGCGGGCGCCCGGCGGCCCCGTGGCAAACTTGTCAATCCGGCGGAACTCGGCATTGATGGACGAGGCCACGGCCTGCCAATTGGCATGGGGCGGCACAGCAAAGGCAGAGAGGGTCCTGACCAGCGGGTGGCGGGACCAACCATCCCGCGACCAGTAGTAGGCGAAGGTGACCGCGAGGACCAGGAGGAGGAGAGCACCAGCGAAGAAGATTTTCCAAGGCTCGGGCGCCTGGGAGATGGTGAGGAGCTGTTTTTCGGGCGCTGCAAAACACATGCCCAGGTAGTAGCCTGGGGAAGAGTGAGAGTTTCTTCTTTCTTCCTATTTCTTCCTTCTTTCGTTCCTTTTCTTTCCTCCAGCTTTCCCTCCCTGTCTTTTTCCTTTCCTTCCTTCTTGTCTTTTCTCCTTCACCTTCGCGTTATTTTTGCTGTTCTGCCTTTCTCCTTCATTTCTTCCTTTCTTCTCACTCCTGCCTTCTTCCCTCTTTCCCTTCCTTTTTCTCTTTCCTTCCTTCCGGTTTTGTTTTACTATCCTGCCTTTCTCCTTCTTTCCTCTCTCTTTCCTTCCTTCCTCCTCGTTCTCCATTCCTTCAGATTTCCCCCTCCCCTTCTCCCTTTCTCTTCCTCTCCTTCCTTCCTAACTCCTTCCCCCTTCCTTTCTCCTCCTGCCCTTCCTCTTCCCCTTGCTTTCTGCTCCTCTCCTCCCTTTCTCCTCCTCTCCTTCCTCTTCCCCTCTTCTCCTTCCTTTGTTCCTTCCTCTCCCTCCCTCCCTCCTTCCCCTCCCTTTCTTCCTCCCCTTGTTCCCCCTCCTCTTCTCCTTCCTCTCCCCCATTCTCTTTTCTCCCCTTCATTCCTTTTTCCTCCTCTCCTTTCTTCCTCCCTCCTCCCTTTCCTTCCTTTTTTCCTCCCTCCCTCCTCCCCCCTTTCTCCTCCTCTCCTTCCTTCGTTTCTTCCTCCCCTTCCTTCCTCCCTTTCTCCTCCTTGGGGCTCCCCTCCCCTTTCACACACACACACCCTTCTTGGGGGTTCCCTTTCTCCTCCTTCTCTTGGGGGGCTCTTCTCTCCCTCTGTCCCCTTGGGGCTCCCCCTCTTTTTTCTTCACCCCACAGCTGAATGGGGTGGGGGATCCAGAGCCAGACCCTAAGTGGGGAGGGGGAACGGTTTCCTCCCTCCCCCCCTCTCCTTTTTCCTTCTCCTCCCTTCCCATTCACCTCCTCTCCTTCTTGGGGCTCCCCCTCCCTTCTCTACTCCTTACTCCCCCTTAGGGTACCTCCTCCTCTTCCTCCTCCCCCCCCCCCAGCTGAATGGCGGGATCCAGACCCAGATCCTGAGTCTTCCCCTTCTACCCTCCCCACCTTGGGGCTCCCCCTTCTTTCACACTCCCTTTCCTGCACCCCCCTTCTAGGGGGGGGTCTTCCTTTCCCCTGATCCTGCACCCCCTTTCTCGGCGGGGGGGGGGGGGCCTCCCCTTCCCCCCCCCCT